GGGCTGGGGTTTTTTTTTTTTTTTCCCCTTTCCTTTGCCCAAGCCTTGGAATTTTTTTATGCAGAAAAGGAAAACGTGAACAACACGGAAGAGCAAGCCTCCCGCTTTAAACCCGCTCCCTGACGCGGGAAGGCGGCTGGCGGAGGCTGTCGCTCTGCCTGGTTGATTTGCCGGGTTGGGAGAAGGGCCACGCCAGCAAGACCTGTGCTTCCGACGCTGAACCTCACGGAGACGAGGCGACAGCTGTTCCCGGCCTGGGCCTCGGGCAGGAGCGCGTAGAGCACGTGCGTCGTCAAATCGGGGACTGGAAAAGGAAAAGCGCACCATTTCGAAAAATGCGCGTCTATCCCTCCGGAAAACAGTCACTGACAACAGGGGTCGTTGGAAATGCTAACGGCATTCCGGTGCGTTGCATGTGCTCCCCGAGTCCGCTCCGTAACAGCCCAGGAGGGGAGGTGATAGGATACTCTGCATTTCTTTTGAGTTGAGGAAACAGCGGCTCAGAGAGGTCAGTCACGCAGCAAAGGTGGCACGGCTGTTGACTCAGATACAAGCAGAGGCTTCCTGCCGCGGGGCGCTGGGCGGGCGGAGGAGCTGGGAGGCGACCAGCTGCTGTGCTTTCCCGTTGACTCCCCCACCTGGAAAGAATAAATCCACGCAAGTCACGCCGCTGCTCCCTGCCTCAGTCTCCCCACCCGTGAAAGGAGGTCAGCAGGGGTCCCGATGGTCCGCTCGGGGAGAGCAACCGGGCCGCTGTTTCGGTGTAGGGACGGCCATGCCGTAGAGCGAGGCTTCGCGGAGACCGGAATGCAGCGAGGGCGGGCGCCCTGCCCGGGGCTGCCGGGAGGGCGTCCCAGGCCGGGGGGCCCGGGCGAGGGCTCTGCTCTGGGGAGGGACGCCTGTGTGCCGGCGGCGGCGGCGACAGGGCGCTGGCTGAGCCGCAGGGGGCGGGTCCGGCCGGGCGCAGGGCAGGCAGCCCGTGCAGGGTGTCGCGGGGCGTGGTGGGGACTTCAGCTCTCCACGGAGCGAGGCGGGAGCCCCGGGGGGCGGGGGCTGGAGCGAGGGAGTGGCAAGAGCCGACGTAGATTCCCCGTCTTTCTTGGACGACGTAAAATCCTCTTCTTCCAGAGCAGGGCTCGGGGCTGCCGCTCGGACCTCTTCCTTACACAGCACCTCAAGCTGCCCCTGCGGGGACCAGCGCTTTCACCCCCGGGGGTCCTGGAGAGCAGGGGACAGAGGGCCCAGGGACGTGGGGACACTGCCCACCCCTCTGGCTGGGAAGACGTTCATTTGAACCGTCGACGAGAGTTACAGGATGACCCCTGGCCCCTTGGCTCCGGGAAGAGGAGCCAACTCTTCCTTCTGGGCGGGCGCTGCCCCTGCTCGCCGCTAGAGGGCACTGCAGGACCGCGGATGGGCGCGCGGCGCGGGCCGGGCCCCGCCAAGGGCGCTCCCGCCGGCCTGCCCCGCGGTGCAGAAGGGGAGGCTGAGCGGAGCCCGCAGCCGCTGTGCCCGACCTTCGATGCGCTGAAACAACAATGGAAACAGCATCGATCCGGCGTCCCGTGCTGTCGGCTCTGGGGCAACAATTTAAAACGGCCTTTAAAGGGCGGCCCAGAGACGCAGCGCCAGCCCACCGCCGTCGCTTCCCCCGGCAGGGCTCGCCGAGCCCCTCGGGCGCTTCTTCGGGGGCAGGGGGACCTCGCCCTGCGGGAGTCGGAACCGACTGGCCCATAACTGGTCCTTCTGAGAAAATGAAAGTCTGGCATTTAAGGATCACGAGAAGCCATCTTTCTGAGGGCGTTGGATGGGACGTGTGTGGAGGGGCGTCCCCTGGACGGACCACAGGGCTGCGGGGACCAGGGGCCCGCACGCAGGGAAGACCTTGCGGTCACAGGACGCCGGCTTGCAGGAGAAACCCAGGTGTCTGCTCACGGCGTTCCCTCGGCGGACTTTTAACAGGAGGAGGAAGGAGAGTCCCTATAATCCAGCGCCACTCCAGCCCTGTGACTCCCACTTTTTTATGCTCCAAGGCACGCCGAGGTCACGCCGAGGTCACTCCCCAGCTGAGCCGTCCGAAGCGTCCTCCCGTGTCGGCTCCGACGCCCCGGCACCGCGCTCACAGGCAGCGACCTCCCCGCCGCTTCGCTCTCCGATGGCGGCGACCTGCCCCGTGCCGGCACAGCCTTCTGCTCGGCAGCCCTTGGGAGACCCCCTCCGCCCCCGCAGGACACCGCCCTGGGCACCCCCCAGGACACGTCTGGGGCCAGGGCCAGGGAGCAGGCTCTCCAGGAACCACGGCCGCATCGAAGGCAACGCACAGCGCGCCCTCATCCCCGGGCCCAGGGGACGGCCGGCGGAGCAGCCAGGCCTCCGCGTCCGCGTCCGCGGCAAACACTCGTTTTAAACAGCCTGGAGGAACGAAACCATCGGGCGCTTAGCTCAGAAAAGGAAACTCATCCTCCGATGGGGGACTGTGGGTCAGGGCCCGTCAACGACAGCTTCCGCTTCGGTCTGCGGCCAAGGGCCCTTGCAGAGCCAGGCAGGGACGACAGGCCTCGGGGCGGGGGGCACCCCATCTCCCTCCTGCCGGCCGGCTGACAGCACCCTCCCCCCCCACAGCGGCAGGTCCGCCTCACGTCACCGGACTGAGAAGGGACAGTGGCTCTCAATGGTCACAGAAGCAGATGGTCCGAACAGGCACGGCCGCCCCCGCCTGGGCCCCAGCTCAGCAGCCCCCGGCCTGCGTTCTGCCCCGGGGCCTGCCGCTGTCCCGGGCGGGCGCCTGGCACAGCGGCCGCGCGGAGGACACACGTGAGAGGAGGGGGCTGGAGCCGGCGGAGAGCCCAGGCGGGGGCGGGGAGCAGAGCCGTCTGCGTGCACCCGGGGCACCGCAGAGGCGTCTCTGGCCAAGCTGCGTGGTCCCCGGAGGTCCCGCGCTGGGCGGCAATGGCTGTTGGCCCGCCAGCCTCACTGGCAAGTGTGGCGACGCAGGGGGCCGGGGGTGAGCCCCGGGGAGGCAGGACGGGGGGGCTGCCGCCGCTGCCGGGCGCACTCACCCTGCGCCCGCCCTTCCTGGGCGCTTCAAGAGCTCTGCCGGGAAAGGGCTCTCGTGACCTGTCACCTGACTGCGGTGTCCCGATTCCCTCACAGCAGCCCACGCCCCGAGGACGCCTGCGCCTCTGTCTCCTTCCTGTGCCCTTGACTTCTCGGCACGCCCCCCCCCCCCCCCCCCGCCCGTTGCTCAGCGGCAGCCCGGCCCCTCTGTCTTCTCCGGCTGCGTGTCTAGCGGGGGAGGAAGGGGCTTTGAGCCAACACCTGGCCGCACCCCCCAGGCTCCAGGAACGGGTGCCAGCAGGCTTCTCCCTGCCGCCGCGGCCCCCGCCGCCGGCGGCTCCCGGACCAAGCGGGCAGTTCCGGAGACCGCTGCTTAGGACGACTGTGTCATCCAAAGACAGCAACCCCGCAGCCTCCCGCACACAGCACGGCCCGTTCGTGCTATTTAATTACTGGCAGAACCAGGCCTCCAAATTGATTTACGGCCCTGCAGAAGAAACGCGTTGTCGGAGGAGAGCAGATTTCTTACAGTTAACTTGCGAGAGACGAGGCAGGCACTCCGGGTGGGAAGCGGTCCCGGGGCACGGGGCGCAGCTAAGGACCCCGCGGGCCGGCCTCAGCGCCGCGCCCCCGAGCCGAGCTGTGCGAGTTCTGCAGCCGCGGCCACTGTGGTGGCCGGAGCAGCGCGCTGTCCGGGGAGAGTGAGGGGCCAGGCTCCCGCCGTGCCTTAGCCCCTGGACATGGAGCCTGGGGCCACAGCTTCCCCCCAAAAGCTGCCGCCCCAAGCAGCAGGAAAACCCTGTGCGTGACGGGGAAAAGGGCGAACATTTTGGGGGCCCTGCCGGCCGCCGTCCGCCCTGAGGACGCCGAGGAGACACCTCCCGCGATGGTATTACTGCCCCTTTCACCCCCTGCCCCCCGGAGGCCCCTGAGGATTGTGATTCTGGGGAAAAAATACCTCAATTTGATTCAGAAAGTGTAAAATGACTGTTTTTATAAAGAACAGGGGGCATTAATTCCTAGTCAATAAACTGGGAAAGTGTCTTAATAATAGAGCCAGTTTCACCGTAAACTGGCAGCCAGGGTGGGCGTTCACCGCCCCGTGGCGCCGAGAGGCGGGGGCCAGGCCGCCCCGTCCGCCTCCGTGGGGCTCGGCCGCGCCGCCCTCCGGCTTCTCAGCCGCCCCTCCCGAGGGAGCGTGGGGCACGGTCAGGTCTCAGAGGGACCGAGCTGTGCGATCTTCTGGGTCCTTTGCCGCCTTCACGCTTGAGGATCTCAGGGGAGATACGCAGAGAACAGGCAGAGGTTTAAGGAATCAGGGAAACACAGGAAGACACACAGGCGTCCAAAAAGCCCACGGAGAGCGGGTGCGGGGCGCAGGTCTCGGACGGACACCGTGGCAGGCGCCGCTGCGGAACTGTCCTTGTCGCCGGCCTTCCTTGACGCTCCGTGAGGCCCATTTTTGCCATCACAGCCGCAGAGAATAAAGCACCTGCTTCTCCGCCACCCAGCTCATGAGCCATTTGTACCCACCGAGGTAAACTTGCCTCACGTGGCTTGGCGGTGGTTGGCCGACGACACTCTTTAAACATGCAGGTGCCCCCGGCTCCGCGTGGGGTCTGGTTCACGCGCAGCCGCCCTCGGAACCGAGCCCCTGGGCTGAAGCCCCAGGGCGCGCTGCCCGGCCACGCCGGCCCCCGCGCCTTGACTGGGGACTCGGGCGGGTGCGGGCGGGGAGCCCCGTCTCTCACCTTCTCAAGGCCCCCTGGCGCCCAAGGGAGCCGCCCCCCGTTCCCCATGGCCCGGGGGCAAGTCGGAACTCTGTTAGGGCCGCTGGCTTGGTGTCATTCCGGGATGCGGGGTGGGGGGCAGCCTGCCCCTCAGGGTAGCACGTCGGGGGTCAGAGGTCCCGCTGCGGACGCTGGGGGACTGTCCGGTGCAGCATGAGGAGCCCCACGGAGCGATCTTGGGGGTCACTGACAGGTGAGGAGCCTTCCTTAGCCACGCCCGGGCCGGGGGGCTTGTGCACAGCTCACGGCTTGAGGGAGAAGGGACGGCACCTGGCCATCTGGACACCTGTTGGGAGCTGCTGGGAGCTGGGCAGGTGCCCCCGCCTCCCAGCAGCCCCTCCCGTCCGCGCTCGCGGGGAGGGTGCTGGCGAGGGAGCGCGCGGGCCAGAGCAGGGGGGGTGGGATTCACTCTGCGGATTGGGGCTCACAGCTGTCACTCTGAAAGGGTGGGGCTTTTTTTTTTTTCCTCCAAAAAGGCCAATTTCCAGGCAAAGCCCGGATCCCGCGCGGGGCACTGTGGCGCTCGCCTCCGAGCGGATGCAGCCTCGGCTGAGTGGCGGGTCCTCCTCCTCGCGCCAGGGCTCCGCGTCTCCGCCGCCTGCCGTGAGCCCTGCGCGCCCTGGGCCCGCCGGCCGGGCCGGACCGGGCGGCGCGGGGGGCCGCGGCCGCGAAACTTCGGCGCCGGCACGCGCGATCCCCGGGGCGAGGCCGGGCGGGATGGGGGCCGTGCGCCGGCGCGCCCCGCGCCGCCCCGCGCGCCCGGCCCCCGGCCGGGGCCCCCCGCGCCGCCTCCGCCCGCGCCCGGGGCGCCGCAGCCCCGCCGCCCAGCCGCCCGCGCGCTCTAGCCCGCCAGCCCGCGTCCCCGCGCTCCCAGAGCCGCCCTTTTTGATCCAACTGCGGGCCAGTCCACGCTCAGGTCAACAGGAAGGGGCCAGATCCGCGTGGATTAAAGTAAAAATACCCCGGTGGGGGTGAGGGGGGTGGGGTTTCCCTGCGCGCGCCGGACTCGGGAGGGCAACTCCGGAGCGGCGCGGCGGGAGCCCCCGGCAGGCCATGGACCGGCGGGAGGGGCGCGCAGGGCCCGGCGGCTGTTGGCGCCCTTAGCCGCGCACTCCCCGGCCGCGCAGCCCCGCGCCGGCCTCCAGGGGCTCGGCGGCTGTGTCTTCTTCGTCCAGACGGCGCCGGGGAGCGGAGGACCTGCTTTCCGGGCTCCGGGACGTGCCCGTCTGAGATGGGGACGCTGTGGCACCGCTGGTCCCCCCTGCTCATCAGCCTGGCCGCCCTGTTTTCCAAAGGTGAGGGGACGCCGCGCTGCCGCTGGCCCCGGGACTAACTTTGCCGGGAGTGAGTGCGTGGGAGTGTGTGCGTGACCGGGGGTGGCTGGGACAGAGGGCGTGGGTGTGTGGAGTGCGCGTGTGTGCGCGCGTGTGCACGAGTGCGTGCGGCCGCCGAGACCGCGGCGGCCCCTTTGCGGCAGGAGCCTCCAGGAGGACCCTGCCCGGGAGGCCCTCGGTGAGCCCGCAGGGGGCTGCGGTGACTTGAGTCTTGTCTGCCAGGAGCAGCTCGCACGGTGCGGCGGGGGGCCGTGCAGACCCCGCGAGGGGCGGCGGGAGCTGCGCGGGCGGAGCTGGATGGCGGAGCGGGATTGGAGTGAGCGGGAGGGGCCGCGGCGCGGGCTGGACTGCGCCCTGGGCGCTGACCTCCAGGACAGAACCGCGGAGCAGCCCCGGTGCGGCCACGCTGGGAGCGAGGCTGCCAACAGGCACTGCCTCGCCGGTGCTGGCCTCCAGCCTCCTCGGGCCGGCCGTCCCCCACCCCCCACCGCCCTCCAGCACCCCTGCAGGTGGGCCCACCCTAACGCGTCCCCTGAGACGCCACCGCAGCGCCCCAACCCCTCGCTGTGTGGGAGATGGCTGCCCCTCTGTCCCTGACCCTTCTGCGAACCTCCGTGTCTGTCGCGGAGCAGCAAGTTTGGAAGCTCGGCACGGTGATTCCTGGGGATAAAGTCTTAGGTCCACACAGGGGGCTGCAGAAAGGACTGGCCATTCCTTGTCATTACCGACCGGGACTCTTCCTGTGTGCACGGCCCCCCCTCCCCCGCACCCCCGAACGCCTCTCTTCCAGGGAGAAGGGTTTCAGGAGGGAAGTGGAGGTTGTCCGCAGCCTCCGGCGCGTGCCCCCACATCCCTGCGAACAGATCTTTCTGAGGTTTCTGGGTGAGAGCCCTCTCTCAGCAACTTCAAAGCCAGGCACCAGGCGTGGAGCCTCCTCACCGCAGGCACTTCCTGTTCTCCGCGCGCTCTCGGCGTCAGTGGGGTGAGGGCCGCTTGGGACTTGGCCGTAGACACAGGCGCTCCCGTGCCAGGTGGGAAGGCGGTCGCGGGCCTGTGCCGCTGTCCTCCCCAGCGCCCTGGGGACACCCCGTCTCCTGTCACAGGGCGAGCCCGAGGACCGAAGCCTGCGATTCACGGTGAGCCAGAGACACGGAGGGGAGGCGGCCCGCCTGACCACGGCCCCCGGTTAGAAAACCCTGCGGCCGCGCAGCCCCGAGGTGCGTTTGCACCGCTTCCCGCCAGGCGGCAAGCGCCACCGGCACCTCTGGTTTGACGAACAAAGGGGCGGAGGAGCTTTGTCACTGGGGCCTGTGGTGTGTCCTCCGGCACGTGCGGGTCCCTTACAGATTTCCTTACTCCGTCGAGCGTGTTGAGGGGAGCGGTGTTGCCCCGGCGCTTCGGGGCGTTTTCAGGGGGAACCCCGGACGCTGTCCCCAGGACGGGGACCCTGTGGTGGGGCGGGGTCTGCGCCTGGGAGTGTTGCCCAAGCCCAGCACAGGGTGCGTCCTGCGTGTCCGCTCGGAGAGCTCCACCAGCTGCGGCGCAGGTGCCGGGGGCCCGTGCCGCCCGGGCCTGCCAGTCCCTGCTCATTCACAGCGGAAGCCCCGGCCCCCCGCGCACCGAGCCGTGGCCTGTTCGCGCAGACAGGATTCCGAAACGCCGGCCCCTCGGCTCTGCCCGCGAGGCGTTCGGATGGCTCTCTGCCCTGAGGTTCTCTGACGACCTGGCAGTTCTAGACCAGCTTGAAATCAAATGTGGACTGCGTGTTAAAGGACCTTGATTGGAAGCAAATAGATGGATACACACACATGCACCCACACATGGACGCACACACAATGCCCAAGGCCAGGTGTGCCTGGTGCTGACGGAAAAATGGAGATTCTTGCCAAACAGTAAATATCTGCTTTAGCATATTATTTTTTACTGCGTGGCCTTAGTTCTTTTCAAATGTGAATCTTGGAAGGAACAAAACTGTACGTTTTCACACCAGGCTGATGTCCTTGAACCTGACCTATGTTCAAGGAAGAGCAAACCTCCCTCTTGCAGACCTTTTGAAAAGTAAATAAAAATAAAGGGTCGTTGCTTCCACTTCCTTCCCCTGGGACCCAGGAAGGAGACGATGAAACGACCAGTTTGACCGGCAGCGTGGCCGTCCGGTGGCCCCCTCGTCCGGAGGATGCAGGGAGCGTGCGGCTCGGGTTGGGGTCCGGCCTCTGTTGGGCTCGCGATGTGTTTGTGTTACGCTGGGTGGCAGGGCCCTGCCTTCCCTCCCTCCCTGGGAGGGGCCGGGAAGACGGGCGAGGAGACCGGGCGGGGCGGGGCGGGCGCTGCTGAAATGCGCAGCCCTGGCACCCGCCTCCCGCCCAGAGCCGCGCTCTCCTGCCCCGGCCTGAGAAGTGGCCGGGAGGCCTGGGCCCCTGGGCAGCCGCCCCGCATGTCCGGCCGAGCGGGGGTGGCCCCGGCAGCGGTCTCCCGGGACACCGGCCGGCCAGTGTCTCCACACCGGCAGCGGCCCTCTGAGGCCAGGAGCCGCCTGGGGGGCACGGCCCCTCCTGGGGCCCTGGGCTGGGAGGGGCTGTGCTTCGCGGTGACACTGGCGGCCTGTCCGGCTGCCGGGGGCGGGAGGAAGACCTGGGAGGAGGCGTGTTGTCTGTGAGTGTGTGTGTGTGCGGGGGGCGGGGGAGATTGCATAGCTTACATCTGGGCGCTGCCGGCGTTCAAAGGCGAGGGAGTGCGAGGCCATTGAAGTTTCGTTTTCTCTGGAAGAGTCAGATAACAAACGATTTTTATAAAATATGCGTATGGAAAGGTGGAGTCCCAAGTACGAGGGTCTGTTTACTTTAGTTCCATTTTGAAAGCCAAGAAACAATGAAAAACAAAACAAAAACTCCAAAAACCTCCAAAACCCCTTATTGTAGAACTCTATACTACTCTGTGTTTTTATTTCATCTATACGTTCACATTTACCCATTTATCCATTTATTCAGCCAGCCGTTCTCCATCCATCCCTCTTTCATTCACCAGTCCATCCGCCCACCTGCCTATGTATCCCCCATCCGTCCATCCGTCCATGGATCCCCCATCCGTCCATCCCTCCGTCCATCCGTCCACTCATCCATGGATCGCCCATCCGTCCGTCCATCCGTCTGTCCATCCGCCCGCGTCCCGTCCCTCCACCCACAGCCTCAGTACTGAAGGCCACATGCTTTCCGTGCCCATGGCTCCCTGCAGGGACTCTTTCTGAGCTCTAAGGACACGGGGGAGGAAGGCGTTCAGCTGCCCCTAGAGCAGGAAGACTGCTGCCAGGACGTCGTTGTTCGGGGCTGCCAGGTGCCCCAGCCACCGCCCCGTGGCGCCAAGGTGGAAGTCCCACCCCGCGCCGCTCCGCGGGCAGCCCCCCTCCCTCTCCCTGCCGCCCGGCTCCTCCTCCTCCCTTTGCTGTTTCCCAGGAGCCGCCTCCGAGCGCCAGCGCCCGCTGAGCGGGCAGCGCTGGCCGCTGCGGCGGGGGAGGGGGAGGGTCCGCGCCAGCTGTGGCAGGCGGGGACGGTCCGAGCACGCGGCGGCCTGTGCCCAAGCGCCGCGGGGAGGCCCCCCCACGGGCGGTTCGCCGGGAGCGGGCTGTGCCGGCGGAGGTGCGGGCAGCTGTCCAGGAGGAAGGCGGGGGGATGGAGGGGCCCCGCGGGGGGAGGCCGCGCTGACCGGCCCCGCAGTGCTCGCTGGGCTGTGGGCGACCTGAGGTAACAGCGCCCCCTTTCCCTCTCAGAGCTGTCCGGGGGACCCCGAGTCCTGGGGGCGCCCTTCCTCGGGCGTCGCTGGGGCAGAGGGGGGACACGATTAGGGGGCGGGTCCGTTTCCTGGGCCTGTCGCTGACGGCCGCAGGCTGGACTGCAACAGGAGGGCCTCACTGTCACACGGCCCTGGGGGCCGGAGCCCTGACTCGTGTCCCTGGGCCGAGGGCACGGTGTCAGCAGGAGGCTGCCGCGCAGGCGTTCCGTCCCTCTTCCAGCTGTGGCGGCCGCCCGCTGTCCTTGCCTTGGGGACAGCATCGCCGTCACCGGAAGGCCAGGCTCTGCTGGTCCTGCCCGCTGCGCCCTCGCGCCCCTGGTCTGTGTGTGCGCGCGAAATCCGCCCCCACCGCCCCCGGGAGGCCCACGTGGCACGTTCAGGGCCCACCTGAGAGACCGCCGTCCGCTCAAGCCACATCTGCCCCCTCCCCACTCCCTTTTTTGACAAATAAGGCGACATTCACAGGTTCAAGGTATGTGAATGTGGACATCTCTTGGGGGGCCCTTTCTCAACCATCTATGGGGGTGACGTTCTAAAGCTACTTGGTCTCCCCTCCTGGATTTTCAGCCTCTCTGCGGCCAACAGCCCCGCGTCTTTCTTGTTGTCTCTGCTTCCCCTGCAGCGCTTCGCGCGGCCCGCGAGCTGGCGAGGGCCGCGGGCCTGGCGGAGGAGGCCGAAGCCCGGGGCGGTGCCGCAGGAGCCTGTGCCCGGCAGCCGAAGGGTGCGCTGCTTTCTCCCCCCCAGTTCAGGCCGTGGGAAATGGTTTGGTCAATAATAACAACAGCTCATCATCTATTTATTTTTTTGAGTAACAAGTGTGTGTCAGGTGCTGGGCTGAATGATAGCTGGCAGCAATTTTCATGAATTTGTCGATAAACCACCGGATAGGTTTTATTATTGACCTCGTTTTACACATGCAGAAAGCAACGCTCAGAGAGGTTCAGTAACTTGGCCAGGATCTTACAGCTCAAAAGCTGGCAGAGCCTGTGTGCGGACGCCGCAGTCCGGGCCATCAGCTGCTCTGCATTCTGCTCGGGACCTGCTAGCGGAAACTCAGCCGTTCGCCAGGCAGGAACCTAAGCGCTGCCAGGCTGGAGGGGGAGGGACTCCCGGCGGCACGGGAGGCCCACACCTGGGAAGGGACTCACTGCTCACAGCCACATCCCACGGACCAG